TCAAGTGGGAAAGCAGCCTTGCCCCCAGAGGCGCCCGAAATCGGACCCCACTCAGGCTGCCGTCACGGGATTAAAGGTGAAGCCTCCTGGCTGTACAGTCTGTTAGCGGCGGGGGCTCGACGGGCATTTGGCAGAATCGTCCCCTCATGGCAGCGGGATGAGGAGTCCTAGCAAAGCCAAACTCCGTCGGACCAGTCGTGGTCCATGGTCCCCCACACCTTTCGTTCCCCACCAGATGCCTTGATCGGGGTTTCAAGGGGCTTCTGGGTCCCCCACGCTGGGGTGAGCGAGGCGAAGCGAAAGCCCCCCCACCCACCCACGCAGAGTATTAACTTCATCAGTCAGAAAAGACCCCCAGGCTTGCCTGCTCTGCACTTGTTCCCCTCCTATCTCCCGCTGCGGGGGGCTGGCACAAGGGAGGGACAGCCTGTCAGAAATAGCCCTTCACTGTCACTGTCCTGCCCTGAAAATAGTCCTTGAGCTAGGCTTGGCTTAACCCTTCCTGGCCCCTCCTGGTCAAAAATAGCCTTGCCGAGCATGTGTGACCTCTCTGGGGGGCCACTTGTCGTGTGCCTTGGCTGCTCGGGGCTTTGCGAGGGTTGCAGTGATGTAAGGCTCAGCCTGGGACCTGGCAGGGGAGTTTCCCATGGGAACGGTTGCCGAAAGATCCAAACCTTGAGCTTACCTGGCATTTTGTACAGCGTGTGTACGGGGAGCTGTGTGCTGACCTGGGGGTCTGCTGACCTCCACCCGCTCTGCCACCCAGAGTCGCAGTCGCTCGCTGAGCTCAAAGCCTGTTCTGACCCGCTGGGCATGATGCTCCTGGACCACGGCCGTCGGTGCGGCCCAAGAGACAGGGCTATTTGGGCAGAAGGGAGCCTGCCCGTGGGGAAACATGGAGATGGGCTGTTTAGGAAATGTTTTAAATGAAAAGGCCGTGAACTGGGTGGAGAGAACCAAAGAAACACTTCAGTAGGGGTAGCGGGGACAAAACCTGAAGAGCTTTTGAGATGGAGCTTGCTGTGTGTCATGGGCTGAGGTGGTGCCTTCCCGGTCCATGCTCTCCACAGGTGGCTGGGCTGGAGGGCTTGACCTGCACCCCCGGGAGATGCTGGAAGGGCTGCCTGGAGCCAGCAGAGACCACGCTCCCACCTGGAAAGTGCGGTCCCAGCACGGCGTCCAGCAGTGGGCAGCATTCATGTCTCGTCTTCCCCCTTCTGTTCCAGGTCTCAAAACCGGAGGTGGCTCTTCAGGTGGCTCAGGGAACACTTTCCACTACACCTTCCACGGAGACCCCCACGCCACCTTCGCGTCCTTCTTTGGAGGCTCCAACCCTTTCGACATCTTCTTCGCTAGCAGCCGCTCCCGGATGTTCAATGGCTTTGAGCAGGAAGACATGGATTTCGATGACGATGATGATCCTTTCAGTGCCTTCGGCCGGTTTGGCTTCAACGGCATTAACGGGGTTCACCGGCGGCACCAAGAGTCCCTGCATACACGGAGGAAGGTCCAAGACCCACCCGTCATCCATGAGCTCAAGGTGTCCCTGGAAGAGATCTACCACGGCTCCACCAAGAGGATGAAGATCACCCGCAGAAGGCTCAACGCTGATGGCCGGACCATGCGGACTGAGGACAAGATCCTAAACATTGTCATCAAACGGGGTTGGAAGGAGGGAACCAAAATCACGTTCCCCAAAGAAGGGGACGCCACGCCAGACAACATCCCTGCCGACATCGTCTTCATCCTCAAGGACAAGCCTCACTCGCACTTCAAGAGGGATGGGACGAACGTGGTCTACACGGCAAACATCAGTCTTAAAGAGGTGGGTATGGGTGGGAAATTCCATGGGGTGGGAGGTGGCACTGGGTCGTGGCACGTGGGGCCAAGACAGGAGCCAGTCCTTGTCCTGTGCCGATGAGGAAGGACCAGGTAGGTTACGAGAGACACGAGCAAAGACCTCTGCTGAGAGGAGCACAGAGGCCAGCTCGTGCTTGGTTTTGGAGATGCTCAACCTCCGTGCTGCGTGTAGGACGTGGGTGCTG